GGAAAACCATGGATGAAAATGGTGCTAATACCTTCCCTTTTCATAATCTACCCCCCGAACTCAAGAAAACATCTCAAAGGTCTTTTCCTGTGCTTTTTCACCTTTCCTTTTGGATAAAAGAAAAGTCGGTGGTGACTCTTGCTAACCGCAACATTTGCGATAAAATGCAAAACCCTCAAGTCAGTTCTCCCACCGTATCACACACGTGTTAGAGAAATGATATCTAGATCATTCTCCAATAACAAGTAGCACAAGTAAGAAAGGGATAAGATGAAGAGGGAGGAAATGTATCATATGAAATTAGGGTTTCAAATATCATCAACATCATTCATCCATTTCGGTGGATTTGGTTTTTTAACCTATCACCACCTAAGATCCATGGAGATTGAGGAACTTGTCCCAAAATCAGGACCCAACAAAAATAATAAAATATTACTTAATAAAACAATATTTAAAATGATTAATAAAAGGGAAATAATTTTTAAAATACACAAAGTATATTAAAACACCAAATAAAAATCCTAAAAAAATATTCAGAGGTCAAACATGAATGAATAAGTGTTGACAAAAATTTTCAGAATTTTTTAAAGTCAGAAACTATTTTTTAAAATTTAAAGAAATAAGGAAATTAAACCAAAAATTTGTTAAAAGTATTAAAATCAGAAATAAAAATAAAATGAGGTCAGCAATATTTGTCAAGAGGTCATTGGATCCTTCCATAATTTTTTCAGAATTTAAAAATTAAGAAAAGTATTTTTAAACAATTAAAACAATTCAAATAAAGTGAAAAATCATAAAAAAATATATCAAATCACAAAATAAAATTGTAAAAAATTAGAAATTAGAAAGAGAAAAATAAAAAGTATTTTTGAGAATTTTTTCATAATTTTTGAAGTTGAAATGAATTTTTTTAATGAATTTTTGAAGTTTAAAACAATTAAGTCAAAAATCAAAAAATAAAAAATAATGCCAAAAAGTTGTAGATCATTGGATCAATGTCAAAATGCGTTAGTAATCAAATCTAAGGGATCTGGCGCGCTGTACATATCACGGTCATTAGTGAATAACACACATGGTCCTTTATTTTAAAAACAGACAAAAACAAGCCACGTGTGGGGCTCTGATTGGTTGAGGACTTCCATGTCATCATATTTAACCTTCAGATCATTGACAAAGTCAACCAAAACACGTGATTTACAGGTCCCTCAAACGGAGAATTAGAGGTTCATGCCAATTCCATTTGATTCGTCTCATCAAGATGAAGATAATTATACCCTCGCAAAAATTTATATAAAAATACAACTTACTCGATTTAGAAAAAGTCAGAAGAAAAAAGTTGGAAAGTGAAACAACCGGCTTAACAATCAACTGATAATTAAATCAATGAAGTCGCCATCGAATGTTTTTTATCCCATAAGAAGGGAAAGGTAAACATCGAGTAAACCTGAGAAGGGTGAAATCAAAGTCGAACGACCAAGAGATAAGGGTAAGGGAGTTTGTTACGTGAAGGGAAGGTATTAGCACCCCACACGCCCGTAGTACTCTATGGTATGCACTCTTGTTTTTTTAATCAAAGGGTGTGCAAGAATCTATATCAAAGATGTACGGGGAATGCAAGCAAAAAGAAAGAGAAAATAATGTAGGTAAAATAAAAGTTGTGCTCGTCCGAACCCTACCCCAATGCCTACGTATCCCTTTTAAGGAATCAGAGCAGCCATATCGGCTTCAAAAGTTTTTATTGGTTTTTATTTTTTAATGAACAATATTAATTTTTCCTCCTGCCGCAACTCGACCTTTGGAGACTTACGCGTCAACACAGAAGTGAATTAACATGTTATTTTTGAAAAGTTTGAAAGAAAAGCCCGAAGGCGCAAAATAGTTTGCATTGGTTGGTATCTTTTACCTTAAAGAAGGATTTAGAAGTTTTTAGATATTTTATTCTTTTTTCAAGAAAAAGGAAGTGTTAGTCTTAATGCATAGATGCCTATCCTAATGTCTAGCTCTAAATCTACTCTAATAGAGAAATTCTAAGGGAACATGGCATATCAAACAAATAAGCAAGCCAATGCTTTGGAAAAATCACACAAACAAGAGTACCATATACTGACAGAAAGGGATGGGGAACAAGAGAAATGCTTTATCTAAGGGGAGCGTATCACCCGAAGCAAACAAGCGGGAGACAGATGAAAAAAAACAAAAATGTGACGTCCAAAGCGACTGAATACCTAACCAAGATATAGAAGACCGAGGTAGGCAACAGAGGATAATATGAACGATCACGGAGTTTCAGCATCGGCCAATGGGAACTCCTAACAAAATGTGGGGGTTTGATTGCAAAACCCTTCCCCACTTGACGGACTCGATACATAAGATCTGCACGAATCTGAAGCATCAACGTACAATGTGAGCAAAGGATAACACGGGCTAGAATGTGCGGGGTTCGATTACGGATCCTCCCTGCTTGCCTCCTTTTGAGGACTTATCACCTATAATATATGCAGCCACAAATGTAAACACACATGCAGAATACCTACTTCAAAGGTTTGATTTTAAACAATCACAATTATCATACAGAAAGTGGTGCCTGCTACAGGACTTTAAACAGCGACTTCGAGCGCACGCTCTTTATTTTGTGCTTCGTACTTCACATGATTTCTAGAAAGATATAAATGTGCTACTATACAGGATCTCTAAAAAGTGGTAAATGCTGAAATGAGATAAACAAGAGAAAATACCAAACGGATATCAATCTGTAGCAAAGTGTATCAAAATAAACCCGACGATCTTCACGAAAGCTTCACCAAACAAAGAAAAGAGTCAGAAATGAAATGCTCAGAATAAGCATCGAAGCATCATCGATGTGAAAATAAATCACAATCGAAAACTCAAGCATATCCGCATATCCTGCATAAGACTCAAATCTCAACAAGCAAAAGTGAATTACAAATCTCAAGTATAATCATATAATCAGGATTTAATTCCTAAAATCAAAATAAAAAAATCTAACAAAATTTTATTGATTTTGCAATTTTATCATAAAAAACAATGTAGAAAAATTATAAACAAAATCTCAAATCTAATAAAAGAAATAGGAGTATCAAGGGTGTGTTAACTGCAGCTGGTGGGTATACTATAAGTAATCATAATGATGCATCGAGCCCATCCATAAATAGTCCAATACCTTTATTTTATTCACAAACATACAAGCTGCCAAAAAAAATTAGTTATGGGCTTTAGGGGTACAGTCTTGAAATAGGTGGTGTGAGCAGGAGGAAAGAGGCGCAAGAAAGACCCATCATTCAATTGCTAGCATGCTATCAAAACAAAAACAAAACAAAAAAGTTGCATTGGGCTACGGGGGGTGAACATAACCCGATCCATTAAACACATTCCAGATTTTTGTCATTTCATTATTACTCAGCTATTCCTTTAAAATGAAAATAAAAAGAAAATAAGCAAGAAAAATGAAGTGGAATTAGGGATCAAAAAGGGGTGGCGATTGGGATTCCGTGATCTCGCCTTCTTCTACCTCTCAACTGGAACGGAATCCGAGACTGTCTTTTTTGACCTCAGTCTTCTTCTACAAGATTTAGACAATGACACTCTTCTCCGGTGAACAAAATGTGTTGTCGTTCATTTTTTTTGAAGCTCACCTCTCTACCATCTCAACTGTTGTCTTTTGTTGTCTTCTCAAATTCAACTCAACCCTTGCTTCATCTTGCATATCAACCTTTCACTTTCCCTTAATTCCCTAAAAACTTCTAAATCTACGCTCGATTGTAACAGAGAACCTAACAATTTGGATCGAATATCACTAAAGAAGAAACTTGATCTCGAGTAATAAACTGAGTAGTATAGTGTAGTTTTGGTGACTCTTTACCTGTGCTGATAGCACAAGAAATCCATAGACCAAGTACGTTTCACTTCGGCTTAACCTTCTTCTAGCCTTCTCCTTATTTCTTCAAACTTTGTGAAATCTTATACTGCTCTGAATCCTTGTTATGATGCGTTAATGTTGCGATGAGGAGACGTTATGATGATTATTCAACGGAGGATTGAAGAGCGGTGAAGACTGAATAATGGAATTGTCGCGATCGAATCTTGAAGGAATCATAAAATTATCGATGAAGATGCTACGTGTTGTGAAGTTGTACACAGAGAGAAACATAACGATGATGATGATCGAAGATTGAAGTAGAGAGTAGAGATGTGTGAAGTTTGGTTGGTGATTTTTCTGAGATTTGAAGAATAGAATTGGGAGAGATTCTTGGACTTTTTTGTGATTCTTCTGTGAAGATTGAAGAATTAATGAAGATGATGGGAGAACAAAGCAGAGAAAAATGAGAGAATGCAGAGAGATTTTCTGAGCTTTTTTGGTGTGATTCTTATGTAGTTGAAGAATGAATTGAATAAGATAATTTTCTCCTTTTATATTTCTGTTAATTTGTTAGAGTTTGTTAGAGTCAGTTAGGAAAAGTTGGAATTCTATTTTGTGAATGAAAATCGGTTAGGGGTTAGAGTTTGTTGTGATGGTTAGGCCGTTAGAAAACAATTAGGAGGTTACTTAAATTATGTTAGTTCTGTTAGGATGAGCTGACAAATTTTCAATTATGACAGTTAGTTATGTTAGCAACCAAGAGGAAATTGGTAGTTAGGGTTTGTTATGAATGCAGTTGAGTTGTTGTTTTGATGAAAGGGTTTATTTTACAGAGCTGCTCTTGAACTTGTATGCTTAACGTGTTCCTGAACAAAGTTTCTAAGATGCTGACTTTTTCAAATTTGCAACTTCTCTGATACTGAATGGTCTTTGGCTCCTTGAATGCGTGGTCAAGTGGTTTCTTCTGAATTAAAATGTATGTGCATGGTTGGGTTGTATTTATCTGGATAATTCTATAATTTCTTCTGGTTTTTCTTGAATTAACTGAATTTTCCCTGATGCATTTTTTTGTGAACCGAACTGGCAGTATTTCTATTTATTATTTGTTGGAATCTTTTGGCTATCATTGACAAATGCCATAAAGTTTTGTCTGATTGAGTAGGTCATATTCATTAGAATCATTACTTTCTTCAATCCTGGTATTTTCATCTGCCTCAAGTAACTCTTCAATAGAAACAGAAGTGTGAACTAGGCCATCGAGTTTCCTTCCATTGAAGCCAATGTATGCTGATAAAGACGGGTAAGAAGCAGCAGATGCAAAGTTTGGTGAAAGCATGGAGTTGTGGCCTTAAGAATTTAGAGGTTTAGGCTTAGAAACATAGAACCAAATGCCTTGTAATTATTTCCTTTTGTATACTTCAAGCATGTAATGGCACCATGTACTTGTAATAGGATAAACCTTGTATTTTCTTGTAAGCAAACATGTTCCATCTTGACTTCTAATCTGAGCTTATTTTCTTTTCCAATCTTTAAACTATTTCAAATCTTGATTGATAATAAGTTGGTTTAAGCATGACTTTGTAATAAGCTACATGATACCTTGAACTTGTATTTGAACTCGAGTGAACGAAATTCGCTTGAATGAATTCATGTATTTTGAATGGAAATTGATGAACCTTGTTTAGAACCTTAAATGATGTTTGATTATTTGAACGCGACTCGAATCAATACTTGAATGGTGAATTCCACGATGTTTGAATCAAGTTATGTACCTTTCATAGTTCCACCATAATAGAACTCCAATTACATGCCTGAAGTAATATTGTTAATCAAAATCTTGGCTTTATGTTATCAAAAGGTAAATGAATCCAATACTTGCACTAACCATGACATTTGCCTTATAACTCAAAACAAGATCTTGATTCAATACTTGGATCTTAATCAAATGTTGCGTTGTGCTTGAATTTCATAGGAAAATCGGATTCAATGTTGAAGTTCATATTGTCCACACCTTGCACTCCAAGCCGAAGACACCTCTTTGAATTAAAAAAATCAAAACCTTAATTGATTGTGTTGTGGATAGATGAATCCAAACTATATTTTCCTTATTCCAAAACCACGGTCTACACTTTATAGTCCAAGCCAGAAATGCACCTTGAATTGATGAAATCTGGATCCACAAGAAAATTTTCAATGCACCTCTTGTATTGATTCTTGACGAATCCATATTGATGCCATAGAGAATCCATAAACCAAAATCTTAGATCATACCAATTGATCGTTTGGTAACATTGAATTCATATCCCACATGAATAAACATCTCCTCACAATGGATTCAAAACGACTTCAATTTTTAATGAGCAAAACACTAAATCATCCTGCCTTCTTGCTAAAATCCCTGACTTTAAACTCAATTCAACCTCAAGAGATAAGTATTAAAAGAACGATTCCTAGAGCATAATGAATCTTTAATTGAATTAACCAGTGCCCGCACTAAGGATATGAACCCTATTCCACTTGAGACGCATTTGAGATGTTGAGGGAATAAGACTCGAAGGATGCTCAAGATAGCCCATGAGATGCAACTATAATCCACTGAGTCTTAATTGATGAGATAATTGTATATAGTGAATATGAAACCAATGAACAACCAAACCCTAACTCCACACTTTGCCGCTTATAGAGGACTAGCCGGGAGAATCAGAAGAAACCAACCTTTATCTGATATGCATGACTAATCACTGTAAAACCCTGATATTGCTACTTCACTGGTATTTTGAACCCATGATACTTTATTGAACCAAATTTATGCCATGTTAGTAACCTAATGAAAAGATGTGAATGCAACGCTAAGCCTAAGCCAAATAAAATAAATTATCAGGGCAAATTTTGGGGTGCAACCGCTGCCCCTATTTAATCGCCTTCACCCTAAAGGTGAGATTGGCGTTAGCCTTTCGAACATTCAAGATGGAAGAATATTAAATACTTAAAAGAACTTGAAAATTTGTGCTCCAAAGCCCGTCAGGTATTATTATATTTTTTGGTCTTTTCCGTATATATATTTTTTCTTTTTGGATTACAATAGTTATCTGGGTAAATTTCTTGGATGTCAGGTTAAAATTAGACACACAAGACAAAGATCAGATACTCAAGAAATAGATCCACTACAGTGGACTATATGAGAGACATCTAACAAGAAAGAGACCTAACAAAGCAGACTCAATCGAAGGTGTCGGGAAAAGATGGGATCTCACAGTGATTTTACCCAAAGATAACAGAGATAGATGAGACCTAACAAAGCAGGCTCAAATGAAACTATCAGAAATGGAAGGGATCCAACAAAGCGATCTCGACCAGAAATACAGAAGAATGAAGAAATCTAACGCAACGACTTCGACCAAAGATAAGGAGAGAAGAAATCTAACACATCATTTCAACCAAAAATATCAAAGAAGGAAGAGACCTAACACATCGGACTCGACCGAAGATATCGGAGATGGAAGAAATCTAACACAGCGATCTCGACCAGATATATCATAGAAGGAAGAAGTCTAGCACAATGAATTCACCCAAAGATATAAAAGCAGCAAGAGACCTAACATAACGGTCTTGATCAGATATATCAAGGAAGGAAGAAGTCTAACACAACGATTTCAACCAAAGATATCAAAGATGGAAGAGACCTAACACAACAGACTCGACCGAAGATATCAAAGATGGAAGATATCTAACAAAGTGATCTCAACCGGATATATCAAGGAAGGAAGAAGTATAACACAACAACTTCAACCAAAGATATCAAAGGAGTAAGAGACCTAACACATTGGACTCCACCGAAGATATCAAAGATGAAAGAGATCTAACAAAGGGATCTCGACCGGATACATCAAGGAAGGAATAATTCTAACACAGTGACTTCAACCAAAGATATCAAAGATGGAAGATACCTAACACAGAGGACTCGACCGAAGATATCAAAGATGGAAGAGATCTAACAAAGTGATCTCAACCAGATATATCAAGGAAGGAAGAATTCTAACACAACTACTTCAACCAAAGATATAAAAGATGGAAGAGACCTAACACAGCGGACTCTACCAAAGATATCGAAGATGGAAGAGATCTAACAAAGCAATCTCGATCCGATATATCAAGTAAGGAAGAAGTCTAACATATCGACTTCAACCAAAGATATCAAAGGAGGAAGAAACCTAACACAGCGGACTCGACTGAAGATATCGAAGATGGAAAAGATCTAACAAAGCGATCTCGACCGGATATATCAAGGAAGGAAGAAGTCTAACACAGTGACTTCAACCAAAGATGTCAAAGGAGGAAGAGACCTAACACATTGGACTCGACCGAAGATATCGAAGATGGAAGAGATCTAACAAAGTGATCTCAACCGGATATATCAAGGAAGGAAGAAGTTTAACACAGTGACTTCAACCAAAGATATCAAAGATGGAAGAGATATAAAAAAGAGATCTCGACCGGATATATCAAGGAAGGAAGAAGCCTAACACAGCGACTTCAACCAAAGATATCAAAGATGGAAGAGACCTATCATAGAGGACTCAACCGAAGATATCGAAGATGGAAGAGATCTAACAAAGTGATCTCTACTGAATATATCAAGGAAGGAAGAAGTCTAACACAACGACTTTAACCAAAGATATCAAAGGAGGAAGAGACCTAACACAGCGGACTCGACTGAAGATATCAAAGATGGAAGATATCTAACAAAGCGATCTCGACCAGATATATCAAGGAAGGAAGAATTTTAACATAGCAACTTCAACAAAAGATATCAAAGATGGAAGATACCTAACACAACGGACTCGACCGAAGATATCGGAGATGGAAGAGATCTACCAAAGTGACCTCGACCAGATATATCAGGGAAGGAAAAAATATAATACAGCAATTTCAACGAAAGATATCAAAGAAGGAAGAGACCTAACACAATGGACTCGACCGAAGATATCAGAGATGGAAGAGATCTAACAAAGTGATATCAACCATATTTATCAAGGAAAACTAACCGCAGATAGACTCCCAGAGAAAGAACACCGAATGAAGGCGAACTGGAGGTAATATATATGTGTCTGGCCAAAGTTAAACACACATATAAGAAAGAGACCGACCGAAGTAGACTCTTAACAGAGGACATTGAAGGTAGACTTTCTGGGGATATCCTGTGACAGATCCCTTTTAGGGAAACTGGGAGAGAACTTTGACCAAGGTAAATTCACAGAGAGCTCCGAATTAAAGGCGAACTTTACAGGAGAAAGAAATCAACCGAGGGGTACTCTAACAAGGATACCAACCGAAGACAAATTTAAGGGAAAAGAACTTACTGGGGATTCACATATGTCTTGAACCCAAATAGAATGCCATTCGAAGGCGGACCTATGATTAGAAAAGAGAGACCAACTGTAGAGACTCTAAACAAGGATTGCAAACACATGTTGGACTTTAAGAGTTACCAAATATGCAAGAACTACAAAATCCTTTAGGCCGGAGGATGGGTGTAATTCTTCAAGAGTGGAAATTATCTGAATTACCACACACCACGTATGGATACTCAAATGCTTGAGAAGTAAGAAAGTTTATACACCAACTCTTACTTGCACTCTGACAGCAAAGCAAAAACGGTAAAACAACCAAAGGTTTGTAAGGAAAAGAATGAACCACAAACTTACTGGGGAAATGGGAAATACCAAAAACCCGACTGGTGGTAAATGAAACAGACTCCACTAGGGAAACATAATAGAATCACACTATACTTGTTATGGAGATAATTCAAATCTGAGCACATAATAATCCAGTTACCGCAAGTAAATATTGTTGGCTTATACTTATGCATGTTTGAATTTTTTTATAGCGTAATGCTCTGTACAATAAAAATTCTACGCGTTTTGGTAGATGCGATGTAATGATGCATGTTTAGCAATGCACTGGGGAAAGCACGCCAATAATAAGCTGCTGAGGAGATAATGAACTTCCGAACGACTATTCTTACACATCTGATCTTTTGTAGAAAAAAGGCAATTTAAACTTCAATGGGGAACCGAGGTTCAGAACCACCAACCTCTAAAGATCGATATTAATGGGGAAGTAACTTCCTGGAGAGAAATACTTCAAAAATAAATTGCAATTCAGAGAAAATCTTGAATCATGATCAAACTCCCAACTTCCTGGGGAACAAATTCTTTATCTTTTGTTAGGAAGAGGAGAGCTTCGTTGGGGATGGAAACTTTATCGCGTAAAATTTCTTGAGGAAGATAACTTCTACTGGGGAGTATAGAAATTCTTAAATAAAAAGAATTCTAC